TTAAGTAAATATTATATAATATAATCATTGAATTTTACCTGGGGTAAATATTAAAAATTTTCAACCCAATTATATGTTAAACTTGAATTTAAAATTAAATTATACAGGAGTTATCACAATATAATTCAGTCGACCTAGTAAGTTTAAGTATAGTTTAAATAATAATTAAAAAAAATAGATTGACTTTTTAAAAAAATTAAAGATAATTTTTTTTTAACACAGAGATATTAAGATATTGAATCGACATGGTCTAAATAATATAACTCGTTAAATTTATAATTTGGATAATAAATTTTATTGGTGCCAATAACTTTATTTTTTTAGAAATATTTTGACTTCGTTTTACAATAATAAAAATAAATATTTATAAAATCAAGTATAAAATAAATATTATATTGTTTGCTTAATAATACAATAACAAAAATAAATTATATGTAGCCTGCTGCAATAGTTTTTGAGCATCTTTAGTGTGCAAGAAATCATCATCTTTAGCTTAACATGTTTTCATTGAAAAACAATAAAATATTAATATCAATAATAATAATAACAATAACCTCCAAATCCTTATTCTCAACTAACAAAATATGTTTTAATTAACTCAAAATCAAATAAAATAAAAACAAATATAGTTTTAATTTATTCTCTTTCTTCTTTTTATTTTTTGATCGTTCCCTCTCCTCTCTCAGCTCACGAGGACTTAAATATCAAAAATAATATTTTATTATTGAAATGCTAACTTTTTTAACAAACAAGGACCAAAATGTATTAAAAAAATCACTTCAACTATTCAAACAAAGAAATGGCTTTTTTTATTTCTTATATCTTATAAAGAAATTGCAAATGCATGCTTTTCTTAACATATTTTTGTAGTTAAAATTTTCTAGATACAAATCAAAACGTTTACCCATATATATAATCAAATAAATAGAAAAACCATCTGTGTTAATGAATTAAAATAACTAAATATAAAATTAAAAAAAATAAAGAGATAAATATAAATCAAAATATTTAATATTGTAAAAAAAATTACCCAATTATGTTTGCTAAATTTTATTTATTAAAATAATTTTTTATTCGATCAAACAATAATAAAAATAAACATACATATTAAATTAATTAAATAAAATATAAAAATATATCACGTAGAGTTTCACGTATTAACAATAATATCTAAAAAATAACTATTTTTTTAAAAATAAATCTCATCTATACAAAAGATAAAAAAGCACATAAATTAATAAAAAAATCTCTTCAAAAATTAAATACATACAAAATAATTTAAGAAAGGTCTCTATCCAAAAAATATTAAATAAAAAAATCAATCACGAGTGAATTATTGATTGAAACATAAATTTTAAAAATATCAAAAAATATATTCAAAAATATATCAATTTTAAAAAACATAACATGAATATCATAACTTAACTTGCAAGACATGTAATCCAAATCATTTTTCACTTAACTGGGTTAAATAAATTTTTTTATATATATATTAAAAAAAAACTCACATGTGGCCGAACACCCTCGACTGATACAAGAAAAGCATAGGCATGTGGGTGAACCTTCAAGTCTAGGTACAAGACATGTAATTCAAATCATGAATTTAACTGGGTTAAATAATTTTTTTTATATATATATATTAAAAAAAAACTCATATGTGGCCAAACACCCTCAACCGATACAAGAAAAGCAGAGGCATGTGGGTGAACCTTCAAGTCTAGGTCCTCATGCATAAGTTTGTTTTGATTTATTTATTTTGTTTTTTTAAAGAAAAAACTTATTGTTTATTTTTATTTTTTTAATAAAAAGAATCTCTAATATTTTTTAAATAAATTTCAAATTAATTCCCAAATTATCAATCTCAATTTATTAAAGAAATATTTATAATTGATGAAATTAATGATTAGTTCAAAATCAATGGTGATGGGTTCGGGAGTCTGCGCCCTTGATCACAAAATTCATGTTCCAAAATATGCTCACAGAAGTTATTCCACGATGAACTATGAAGCTCACTCTGGAATTTAGAGCTTAAATGTAGTCCGTGGATTCAGATGTATTATTTGACCCATAACTCCACTAGATCATGGAAGGTCTAGTGAGCTCCCTAAAAGCCCCATTGGGCCCAAAAGGTGACAACTCCTAACTTCAAATTGAATTTAGAGTGTTTATTCAAAGAGCGAATGGTTGATTCCGGCAACGACTTGAAAAAGAGTTGAAACACCCACTCCGTGCAGAAGGCAATCCCTTAATAAACTCCACTTCGAGAATTAGAAATCAGTTCGTTCTGCTGCTCCCTCACTCTTTCTATGTTCTCATTCTCCAACAATGCAAGTGTAAGTGCTTTTCACCATCTGCTTTCAACACTCTCACGCAAACACTCCTCTTCTTTCTCCACACACGCTAGTCTCCTCTCTCTAATCTCCAACGCCAAATCTCTCTCCCAAACCAAGCAATCTCACGCCTCTGCACTCCTCAATGCCTTCCTTCCTCAAAGTATCTCTCTTTGTGCCTCTCTCATCCTCAAGTACGCCACTTTTCATGACCCCACCACCTCTCTCTATCTGTTTCATCGAACTCTTCCTTTTTCTCGCTCTGCTTTCTTGTGGAACACTCTCATTCGCGCTTTGTCGGTGGCGCGCGTTAATGATGATTATAGAACATATAATCAAATGGTTAAAATGGGTGTTAGGCTTGATGATCACACCTTTCCTTTTGTGCTGAAAGCTTGTGCCGATAATTTGAGTGTTCAAAAAGGTAGAGAGATTCACGGGGTTGTGTTTAAACTTGGGTTTGATTCGGATGTGTTTGTAGGGAACACGTTATTATTGTTTTATGGGAATTGTGGGGGTTTGAAAGATGTGAAGAGGGTGTTTGATGAAATGCTTGAAAGAGATGTTGTGTCGTGGAATTCGGTCATTGGGGTGTTTTCGGTTCATGGTTTCTATGCCGAAGCGATTCATTTATTTTGTGAAATGAATTTGAGGTCTGGGTTTAGGCCAAATATGGTTAGTGTTGTGAGTGTTTTGCCGGTTTGCGCGGGACTTGAGGATGGGGTTATGGGGAGGCAAATTCATTGTTATGTTGTGAAGACTGGCTTGGATTCTCAGGTGACTGTAGGGAATGCTTTGGTTGACGTATATGGGAAATGCGGGTATGTGAAAGACTCGAGGCGTGTTTTTGATGAAATTTCAGAGAGAAATGGGGTCTCTTGGAATGCAATAATTACTAGTCTTGCTTATCTTGAGCGTAATCAAGATGCGTTGGAGATGTTTAGATTGATGATTGACGGAGGAGTGAAGCCGAATTCTGTCACTTTTTCCAGTATGTTGCCTGTCTTGGTTGAATTAAAACTTTTTGACTTCGGGAAGGAAATTCACGGGTTTAGTCTAAGATTTGGACTTGAATCTGATATTTTTGTTGCCAATGCTTTGATTGATATGTATGCAAAATCAGGTCGTTCACTTCAAGCATCCAATGTGTTTAACCAGATAGGTGAAAAGAATATTGTTTCGTGGAATGCCATGGTAGCTAATTTTGCTCAAAATAGGCTTGAATTAGCAGCTGTAGATTTAGTGAGGCAAATGCAAGCTGACGGTGAAATACCAAATTCTGTCACCTTCACGAATGTTCTTCCAGCGTGTGCCCGAATTGGATTCCTTCGTCGTGGAAAAGAAATCCATGCAAGGGCAATTCGCACAGGGTCCCCTGTTGATCTATTTGTGTCAAATGCTCTGACAGACATGTATGCAAAATGTGGTTGTCTAAATCTTGCTCGAAGAGTCTTTAAGATCTCCCTTAGAGATGAAGTATCTTACAACATTTTAATTATAGGCTACTCTCAAACAACTAATTGCTCAGAATCTCTTCGTTTATTCTTGGAAATGGGGATTAAGGGTATGAAGCTTGATGTAGTTTCCTATATGGGTATCATTTCAGCGTGTGCAAATCTTGCTGCATTGAAACAAGGGAAAGAGGTTCATGGATTAGCAGTAAAAAAGCATTTGCACACGCACCTCTTTATTGCCAATGCACTTTTGGACTTCTATATCAAATGTGGACGAATTGATCTTGCTGGTAAGGTCTTTCGTCAAATTCCAAGCAGGGACACGGCCTCTTGGAATTCTATGATTTTAGGTTACGGAATGCTGGGTGAATTGACGATTGCTATCAACCTTTTTGAAGCAATGAAGGAAGATGGGGTGGAATATGATTCAGTCTCATACATTGCGGTCTTGTCTGCTTGCAGTCATGGAGGGCTAGTTGAAGAGGGGAAGAAATATTTTGAGCATATGCAGGTCCAGAATATTAAGCCAACGCAAATGCACTATGCTTGTATGGTCGATCTCCTTGGCCGGGCTGGAGTTATAGAGGAAGCAGTAAAACTTATTGAAAGCTTACCCATTGAACCCGATGCCAACGTATGGGGTGCTTTGCTTGGGGCATGCCGAATACATGGGAATATTGAGCTGGCTCATTGGGCAGCTGAACATTTGTTCAAGTTGAAACCCCAGCATTCTGGATACTACTCAGTTCTTTCAAACATGTACGCAGAAGCTGGAAAATGGGACGAGGCAAACCAGGTAAGGAAACTGATGAAATCTAGAGGTGCAAAGAAAAATCCCGGTTGCAGTTGGGTTCAGATTGATAACCAGGTTCATGCTTTTGTAGCTGGAGAGAGAATAATGAATGTTGATTCAAGTCTTCTATGTGCAGATCCCTAATTCAATTATTCAATGTTTGAAAATCGAATTCCGAGGTTTATTTTACAAAAGAGTGCCCGATCTTCAAGTGGTTTAGCTCTTTCGATTTGAATGTGTTGTAAGAGAGACTTACAACACATCTTGCACAACTGAGGTCCCCGTCAATCCAATGATCAGACAGCATGTTCATGAGATTATTTACATGGCACGACGATTCAGAAGGTTTTAATCAATCTGTCCAAGTTAGCAAGGAGCTCCTGTCAATTGTAAGCCTAGCATGGTCCCAAGACTAAAAACATGTTCCGAACAAATTCCCACCCACCAAGTTTTTGGGTTTCATTGTTCCAAAAATTTACAATGCAACAGAGGTTGCATTTGGTATGGAATGCGTGCAAAAGAATTTCAGAATATTTCTACAGATTGTACAAAGAATATTGGTGAAAAATGGTTAAACAAAATCTGCCTACCACTAGATGCTATAAGCCTATGACTGGTGACAAACAACAGCAGAGCAAGAAGAGTCACCATCCACAACCCACAAGCTCAATTCTTGAAGCCGCTTTTGAATCAAATCCACACCTGTGCCTGCAAACCAATAAGCCATCTTCTTCCCAGCCTCCAAAGATGATTGATTAGAAGTATCGGCATGAATCTGGATGCCAATGCTCGGCTCATCAACCCTGTGAATTCTCACACCATTCTGTTCCAACAACTTCACCAAGTAAAAAAAATCTGTGCTCTCTCCTTGGAACAAAACATTACCTATTGTGTCAGCAACCTTCCTCAGGAGACCAGCCCAAATTTCTTGAGCAGAAGAAGAGCTCCTAACAAAGAAAAATCCCAAGCTCTTCCCAGCATAGAAATCAGTAGTAGGATCAATGAACTCTTGAACTTTACTGAGAACCAACATGTTTGCATCCACTATCAAAGAATCATACCCATTTTCTAAACACTTCTTGATTACATAAGCATTCACTAAAATGTTCTTCACCAGCTCTGCACTGGAATGTTGAAATCCCATTACTTTCTGTGCTCTATGATAATTGAAAAACTGGTCAGCATCAATCACAGGATGCCCTCTTCTAGCAAGATCAAATAGAAAGTCAGACCCAGGGCCTATCAATATATAGTTCCTTATATTTAGCCTCTCAAAGTGGCAAAGCATGTTCCTCGTGATTGTATATGATGCCCCAAATATATTCACAAGCAGAACACTCTGATCTTCCTGCACAGTCCGAAGAACAGACCCAACTTCATCCGAGGTCCTTCCAACTCTTCCAGGAAGTACTTCTCTGAAGCAGTAATCATACCATTTCAGATTGCTCAAAGGTTGCATTTCCAGTAAGTTGAAGTCAAGAGAACTTCCGTCCAATAATTGGGAGTCAGGCCCAGCAGTTTTCCCATAGTTAACACCAGCATCCCTGTGAGAGACACTGAGTGCTCTCTCATGCTGAAAATTTGTGTAGATATTAAAATAACTTCTAGAGTAGATGAATTTAATGAACCAAGGAGTCCAGATTCTTTCTCCAATCCTTTTGTACCATCCATTAGTCACCTGCAAATATATTAGATTTAGAATTCATTTGAGCAAAGAGTTCAAGTAATGACAGAGAAAAAAATTCAGCGGACGTGAAGAAGGGGGGGCATTAGATTACCATCCCATCAAGCAATGGCTTGATACCCTTGGACTTGTGCAGATCATACCACAACCTAAACTCTTTCCAAGGTTTTGGAAAGAGAATCTGACCCCAAGTACCAACCAACTGGTACAAGAAAAGATGCGTTTCACTATCCAATTGTATTTTGTTTCCATGTTTACCTGCAATCAGCAACCAGATAAACCAAAATCAATCTCAGAAAGGTAAAAGAATTCTTCTAAAAAAAATCAGGTCAAGGGTATGTAATGAGAATTGTTGAATTAACACAATTTTCATAAAAAGGCTCTAATAAGAGACATAAATATTGCATATGGCACTTTCTACCAACAACAAAATTAATGCATGTTGTTTTCGACGTGTCATGACAATTCCTAGACATCATAGTGGAATCAGTAAAAAACTTAGCTCGGCGATGTGGAATCAGCTAGCTTCACATATGCTTATGCAATTGCGAAATACCAAATGGAAACTTTTCAAGTTCGCATCCTATGGACATGATACATATATTTAGGCCACAAGCAAAAGATTAAAAGGATTTCAGCCATGCAATTAACTCAAAATCCAATCCGAGATTCGATTATAACACAGTGAAAAGCCTCAAACACTACTTCTAAAGCTAGTTTTAGCATGAAAAGCAACCTACATCCCCGCAAAAACCCAATATAACGAATCAAGAAATCTATAAACCTTTACATTGAACATTAAAACATCCCGTCTAACAAATAAAAAACCTGAAATAAGAGGAGTACCTGGGACAAAACGTGGACGCTGAAGTGAAGCACCATATATAGAAGGACTAAAATTCGACACATTGTAATAGTAATTAACAATCAAACCCCTCACAAATTTATAAAACAGCGGCGAAACTTCCAAATCATCCTCCACAATAAACGCAAATTCATGATCTGAACTTGGCCACCAAGCTTCTAGCCATTGAGCTTGCAACCCAACATTATTAGTCCTATAATGCACAACTTTGTTTCCAAATTTCCAATCAAACCCATCAACAAAGTTCAAAACTTTTCGCGATTCCTCAAGTTTTTTATCAATAACGTTAAGGGATTCATTGGTGAGGGCAAAATGATCAATGTGGATGTGGAGGTGGACAGTGTCGCCACCGTAGTTGGCCGAAGAGAGGGAGTTGAGGCACCTGGAGAGTGAGTCTAGGCGGTTGAAGGCGAGAACTTTGATTAGGAGAGTGAAGTTTAGAGGGGCAAATCGGGCAATTGGGGCTTTGATTGGGTTGTTGCTGGAAGTAAATTCAGCGCTAGGGATGTGGTGAGTGGATTGGTATAGGGAGAAGAGGATGATGACACCAATGGAGGTGAAAATGATGGGAAGGAGTAAGCTTCTTGGTAGGCCAACCATTTGCTATGATTTTAGGATTTGGAATAGAAGGAATAGAAGGGCATGTTCAATTTGTTCGTGTTTTGAGATGATGCTTGGAGGTGAAGAAGAGGGATGGAGATCTCAAGTCTGCAGCATGATTCAGTTTTGTATGCAAGTCAGTCCAGCATGGTGCTTGGCAGTGAGAACAGGAAAGGAAGGCTGTGTTAAAGATGGATTTGAGAAGTATTGTGAGGCCCAGGAAGGTTGGATTTTGAAGGGAGGAGTTCAATTACGTGCAGTATTGGACTATTGTGGATCTGGGTTTCGAAATTGCAGCAAGAATAAACAGGCCCATATGAAGAAGATTCACAGTGATTGATATGTTTGTTGTGTTACAAATAAATAACCTGTTGGTTTCTTATCAATGCAGCTTGGAGATTCAGCAGAATCTTCGGACTTTGGATGCCATCTTGCGAGGTAATTTTCCACAATTCTAAATTGGCTTCCGAGCGTAGGCTGCGCTCGCTGTCTTCTACTTGGATTTTCCTCGTTTTACTTCTTCTGATTTTCTTCATTGCTTTTGATAAGGGATCCAGTATTATTAGCAAGTGATCAGCATTCAATGAACTTGGTGCTGCTCTTTTTTTAAACGGAAGCCTGCTCTTTCCCTTTCTGATTTACTGCAGTTTTCCTTTATTTTTTTCCTTAGAGATTATGCTCTGCCGGCTTTAATTACTAGTTGCTGGTAGAATAGGCCTACCACCATAATGTATTTGTGGTTATCCAGCGAATGAGTTTGCAAATTGCCCTCATTCTGCAAGCAAAAAATTCTATGACCCTATCTACCTCAACTTGGCACCAACTGTGCACACTTAACAGATGCTCCAGTGAAAGAGACTGGTGCGGACAGCTTCTGGTAAGCTTAACAGCAAGAGAAAGGTCGGTCCCTTGAGTATACTGCCTGCCTGTATGTTAAATTGCCTGTACAGAAACATCATCCTCGTCGGCTCAACAGGCCACAAGCTCTCCTTTTGTATGTTAAAACAGACCAATCCTTCCTTTTCAAGAATCAAGAGAGATTCTAGGATGGCAAAGTGTAGGACCCCTCTTGAAAGTTTCGAAGTTTTCCAGGCATGACGACACGCATAAGCAGTGTAATTATATTTTTAAAAAATACTCACTTGTAAATCTTAGTTATTGAAGATAGACTTTTTAAGTATTTTTATTTAAATAAATATTAAATTTACCTATCTCAGTTTTTTTATTTAACATTTTCTTATGTAAAACCACTAAATAAAAGATGCAATTTGATGTATAAAAAATAATAATTTAAACTATAATATCAAATATCATCAACCAGTAAATGAATTTTCTTATAGGTCACAAGGAAGAAAGTTTAATATCTAGAATGAACTATTTAAAGTTTTTAATGTTTTGTAATATATTGTATAATATTTTTAAAAGTATTTTTTATTTAAAAATATACTAAAATAATTTTTTTTATTTTTAATATTACACATTAAAAATATTAATATATATAATATTAATTTCATATTTTTTTAAAATAAATACTATAAAAATTACTGCACTTATATACAAGTGAAGATAATAGTGGTTGTGGTCTTTTAGATAGCTTCAGCCCCAAAAAAGTAAAACATTGATTGTTTTTATTTGATATCATGTTTTTATTTAAAATATTTTTTTATTTTAATATATTAATATTAAAAAAATTAAATTTTAAAAATAAACAACTTTAACACTAACAAAACAATGCATTAGAATTCGTTATCAAGCCAACTGGTACTTATTTGAAAAAAAGTAAAATAAAATATAAAAAATAAGTAATAAGGTCATAAGGGCGGCCTTTTCTTTTCCCTTTCCTTTTTTTACTTCTTGTTTATTTTCCTTTTTAAAAAGTGAAGCCTACCCACCTTTGCATCTTCCATTTAAATTCATAGAAAAAGTATCATTCTGTCATCCTGTGAATGAACAGTCGAATTCTCTCAAAAAAAATTCAATCTTGGCTAGTTTAAGTTTCATCTGATCTAAGAATCTGAAAAACCCATCTCTCACCTCTCATTTAAGCTGTACTTTTAAGTATTTTGATGATTTGTAAGTCCCCAAGTTTCTCCCTTCTTGTCTCCATTTTAGCTTTTCTTTAACCCCAAAAGATATTGGTGAGCTAGGGTTTCATTTTCATGTTTCTCTAGCTCTTTACTTTGACTTCTTAGCAGTACTATTGTGTTTGCTTTGTTGTTTCAGTCTTTGCCTTTTGCTTACGTGTATTTTCTCTGATTATGATGTGATTAACCTTTTTTAGGAACTTTTTTGGTATTTGTTTATAGTTGTTTCTGCTGTTTTTGATCGCTGTCAAAACTTATAATAGTTAAAAGGTTTTCCTTTTGATTTCTTGGATGATTGTAGAAAATAATTTTTTGATCTTTAGCTTCTTGCCATTTTTTATGTTATCTCAGCTCTTTTTGTTGACTGTAACTGCCTGTTTGATTGCTGAGAAAAACTCAGGAAAATTAGGAGAAAAATTAACATGAGAATTTCTTTCTTTCTTTTTTGAAGTTTTGATTCTCATACTAATGAAAGATTAAAAATCTTTTATTTTTAAGCAAGTAAAAAGGGTTACTTTTTTTCTCCTCTGATTAGTTACTTGACTGGATTAATTTCGGTAGGTAAACGCTGACCTGCAGTTTGCTTTTTTTTGTTGAGAAATCCTTTTATATTGATTATCTAATTAATCCATTTCTGTTAATATTACCTATTTGATTGTCAAACAGGGTAGTCATATTGAGACAATGACCAGGGTAACCCGTGATTTTGGAGATACTATGCAAAAAGATGCTGTCCCAGCTGTATCAGCTGATGTTGCATTTGCTTCTAGTCGGTTTCCTAATTACAAAATTGGAGCTAACAATCAGATTGTGGATGCAAAAGATAGCCCAAAAGTATTGTCCATGAAGGAGGTTGTGGCACGCGAGACTACTTTACTTTTGGAACAGCAGAAACGCCTCTCTGTCCGTGACCTTGCCAATAAATTTGAAAAGGGATTGGCTGCTGCTGCCAAGTTGTCAGAAGAGGTTAAGCTTCTTTTAAGTTGTATTTAACCTTTTGTTTTGTTTCTGGAAGCTTGATTTGTTTTGCTTTAGATGGATTGTCTAATTTTTGAATAACTTGACCTCCTCAATTGTCTGTTACTGTACCCTTTTGGTTGCAGAGAAAATTAAGTTTGGTCAGGGAAATAGTTTTCGAACTTATTCTCCATGTTATTTTTCAACCATGCCAATTGGAAGTAATAAATTCAGCTGACCGTCTAGTCAACTTTTTTTCTTATCAATTGAGTGGAGCATCAATTAATTGTGGAAAAAAGTTGAAAGTTGGTTGTTTGTTTCTCCATTTCTCAAGCTTTAAGACGTTGGAGTTATTAATTTGCTAAAGAGAATGGATGATATAAGAAATCAAATTATAAGCTATTCAACTTTTGATTACAGGCTAGGCTCAGAGAGGCAGCTTCATTAGAGAAACATGTTCTATTGAAGAAGCTTAGGGATGCGCTAGAATCATTAAAAGGACGAGTGGCTGGTAGAAACAAGGATGATGTGGAAGAGGCTATTGCCATGGTTGGTCTTACTTCACTGCCGCTTTTATCAAATTTCTCATCCAAAAATTTTGATTTCATATGTAACTTAATGAATTGGTTCTGCTGCCATTGAGTACTTAAAGATTTATGTGGAAGATAAATTATGGTCAATTCTTCTAGGTGGAAGCGTTAGCAGTTCAGCTGACTCAGAGGGAAGGAGAGTTGATTCAAGAAAAAGCAGAAGTAAAGAAGCTAGCAAATTTTCTCAAGCAGGTAATCTAGTCTTTGATGAAATTTAGCTAATTTTTCTTAAGCTAGCAAATTCCATTCAGCAAGTTTTCTTATATATATATTTTTTTTTTTAATTTGAGAATCTGAGTTAGCAATAAGCATTTTTCTGCCTCATCATCTAGTGTTTGTATCCTTTTTTAGGCTTCAGAGGATGCCAAGAAACTTGTCGACGGGGAAAGAGCTTATGCTCGTGCTGAAATTGAGAGTGCAAGAGCAGCAGTACAGAGGGTGGAAGAAGCGATTCTGGAACATGAACGAATGTCTCGAGCTTCTGGAAAGCAGGTTTATACTAATTATTAGTTATTACAGCTTCAATGGGAGTTTGGCCCTTTGCTAATGTTATAAATTTTAAAAAGATCTTGTTTTATGTGGATATTAGATAGATATCCTCTTTATTGCATTTCATTTTTCAGTACTTGTAGTTAGCTATGAGTTTGGTACTTTTCTGCTTTTGAAATTGACAAGGACAGTCTGAAATCCTTTTCTTGTTCTTTTTATGCTCCTTTTGTGTTTGAATCCTGTTAAGTTTGTAGTTTGTGCATTATTTTGCTGCATATTTTTTTTTCTTTTTTTCATCTTATTCTTTACAAAAAAATTTGTGTGGCATATTAGGACTTGGAAGAATTAATGAAGGAGGTTCAAGAGGCTAGAAGGATCAAAATGTTGCATCAGCCAAGTAAGGTGTGTGCTGGATCTTTTGTGAAAATTTTATTTCCCACCAGACGTTCTAGTTACAAAACTAGATTGTTTCACTGTTCTATGAAATATGGTGAGGTTCTTGTAACATATTGGGGGCTCATGACTGTCCTTTTCAGGGTTTTTATCTATTTCTCTAAGCCTATTATGTGTTTTAACTGCATTTCAAACTAGAACTCAACAATCTTAATTCTAAAGTTGCTTTCAGATGCATGTATTTATCCTTTTTGAGCACCAAGTTAAGTCAGAACTGATAATGATTGTTGAAAATATAGTTCTCTTCTACAATGAAAATTACAATGCAGACTTTTTGAATGGGCACTGGTCAAAGTTATGAGTTGTAGGTTATCTGAAATTTCAAAATTCAAGGGAAATTGAGTTTCTAGGATAATGATTTTTCACTCCTCTGGAATGCTTGTGGTGACTGATAGCTTTATGAACTTTCAAATCTAGAGACAAATTCATTTATTGATCACAAGTGAATTGAACATATAATTGTAGGTTATGGACATGGAACATGAGATACGTGCATTGAGGATTCAACTTGCTGAGAAGTCTAAACGTTCTCTGCTGCTTCAAAAGGAGGTATTATTAGTGCTTGTAAAGATATTATGTTCTGGTCGTAAATAGCTTTTGTAACATCTCTGTAATTCTTATTTTAACTGCATGTTGTGAAGATGCTTAGTTGTTACTGCTTTTCTGCCATTATCCAATCTTAGAATTGTCATTTATCATTTGACTTGTACGGTTACCTCTCCCTGATTGTTATTTTAGTCCTCGCTTTCCAACCCGGTGTTGAGTTCTTTGGTTTCAGAATGTTGTTTAAAATCTTCAAGCAAGTCAAAATATGCAAAGTATTCAGGCAATAAGTTTAAGTTGGTAGTTTTTGTAATTCAAAATTGAAGTCTTTGAATGGTTTAAGATCTGGTTTAGGCTTTAATTAATGTGATATGCTTTTGTCAGAGCGACTCAATGGTTAAGAGGAAATTCTTTATGCATGCTTCCTTCTAAAAATGTTTCTTGTGAGATCTTCAATTATGATCTCTTGCTTTTGACATGCAATCCTAATGTCCATCATTTTGTTGTTCATTTATACTGAACTTGCTGAATAATATATCAGAGAATTGACTTCTTAAATATACCCCCCCAACCCTATAATTCTCAGCTGGCAAGGAGCAGGCGAGCGGAGCAGAGCATATTTCAATTATTTGAATTGGATGGCACTGAAGCTTTAGGTTCGTGTTTGCGGATCAATCCTTGCTCTGATAATGCTCCAGAACTTTCAAAATGTTCCATTCAGTGGTATCGTCTATCATCTGATGGTGGAAAAAAGGAGCTTATATCAGGTTTCTATCTGCAATCATGTTTCTCTTCTGGATGCTTTCAACAATTGAACAAAACACAGTAGATGTTTTATGGTTGATTCTGTGTTAATAGAGGATAGCATTTCATTCCTGCTTAGTGTCTTTAAGTTATTTAGTTTCTGTCTTGTAGATTTGATCTAGCCACTGTCAACCCTTTGTGAGATGATTGTCATTTTGTGAACCAAACAGTTGCTATGAAGCATGAAACCTGTTCGTACATGATTTTGTCACCCTTTTTGTTAAGCAAGCAACTTGTTGGATGCAATGCTGCTTGTTCTCCAACATTCAACTATCAACAGAGCATTTTTGATTGGGATATGAGCGGGATCTGAAATCCAGTAGATTGATTGAGATTTCAGTATCTTGATATATGAAGGTTGGATTGGCTGAATTGAGGACCTGTGTTATCTAGCAAGGCTAGAATAGAATATGGGATGAGTTATGTGAAAATGGGTATTTTCCCCACAAGTTTAGATGAATTGACAGAAAATTAAATGGTTAACAAGTTAGACACTTTCATTTTGATTTTGGGGAATATCCATGGAGTTAGAGGGTTAAATGAAAATGGATTTTTCCAGTGAGTATTTGTGGGATTCATGAAGAGAATAGCATATTTTGGGTTGTTTATGATTTATGCTTAGTTACCATAAATGCTGCATGAAAGAGACTATTGACAGCTTTCATTAATTTTACTCTCTACAGGAGCTACCAAACCAGTTTATGCTCCAGAGCCTTTTGATGTTGGGCGAGTCTTGCAAGCTGAAATTATTTCTGATGGCCAACAATTTTCTTTGAGCACTACTTGTCCCATTGATCCTGGTCTGTATTTGATCTGCTTCACTAATTTGGTTCTTGGTTTTCCAATTTTTATGGATCCAGCTCAACAAAGCTTTGATCCCAAACTAGTTGGACAGATTACAGAATCATTTTTCATGACTGTTCTCAATTTCCGTTAGTATATGGAACTTGATAATTAAAATTATGTGATTCACATGTCTGTACTTGAAGTTATGAACCATGCGATTTAGAAAGATAACTGGCTGATGTGATTTTGTGAACAGCTGCTGGTCTGGGAAGTTATGTGGAGGCACTTGTGCGAAAACATGATGTTGAATTCAATGTAAGTTGTGCTAAAACTGGTTTAACTTCTCTCTCTCTCTCTCTCTTTTTTTGGGTATCTAAACATGTCAAGTTCAATATTTTGGAATTGGTATCTGAACACTGCATATTGTGCATCTTTACAATGGCCATTTCAGTGATTTTTGTTACCCTTCTAAATTGAAGGGTGGGTTGTGGGTCAAGTTCTGGCCAGGCTGACCAATGGTGTTGGTCATTGGTTTAGTTTGAACTCAGACCAGCATCAAGTCTCCACGGATGCCTCATAAAGTATAGACAAAAGTGCATGTGCATATGGTAATTGGATATTTTCTTTTTGTTCATTCTTGAATCTTGAGGGCTTGCTGATGTTTTCATTCTAATGCTCTTACTGCAATATGTTAGTGAAAAGGTAATGATATTTGGCTATTTGCAACTTAGTGCAATTTAGGTTCTTTGACTCTCATGGCCTTAAGAGAGCATGCATACACATACAGAAAATAGGAAAAGATGTATACTAGAGATTCTGAGGTTATGACTTTGAGGACACAACCCTAGTTTATAGGAATAATCACAATGAGGGATGGGTAGTTGTGTACCTGATTCCAGTTGAAGGGGTATTTTCTTAACCATTGTAACGATCAAGGTGGCATTTACACTCCCATAGTCTCATTGCTTTTCCTTGAGCATGGAAACATACACGCATTCTAGTCTCTGCCTAGTGTTCCTTGTTATTGCTAAAAATGCTTTGGGATGTGAAGGCATCATAGATTTTCCTTTTCTTTTTGAGATTAGCAATGAACTGATGCAGGCAACACTCAAACTTGAGACTTTACCCTCTTGTTTTGCAAATGCCATTGAGCTGGAAGCTCATAGATTGAGGGCATCATAGTAATAACTCTTCAAGGATAACATGTTGAAGTTTACATTCATCTTGGTAAAGTTGATGGAATTTATAGAGGGTGTTTAGCTTAATGTTGTCTCATTGTGGTACGTGGCCAAATAAAAAAGAACTGGACTATCTATTTTTCCATCAAAGGATGCTATTATTCACCATTTAATTTTGTTTACTTTACAGGTCATTGTTACCCAGTCAAATGGGGCAGATCATCCATCAGAATCTATTCATGTGCTTCATGTCGGAAAGATGAGGATGAAGCTTCGCAAAGGGAAGTCGACAATTGCTAAAGAGTACTACTCTACTTCAATGCAGGTATGATGAACTGTTCAATATTTTCCTTTGTCAGATATCGCAGATAAGATGGTTTTGTATTTATGAAGGTCCATAGCCTTCACTTCTTTTTTACCATTATTTCCTTTTGATTGCAGAATATTGTGGTCTTTCCTTTCTGCACACAGACACAAACACACACACACCTCTTATGTTCCTACAAAGTTGTCAACGGTTCTTTTGTTGGACATTAGTGTCTTATTTTGGTTTTATCAATAAATAACCCTTTCGGGTCAGCCATTTCTCACACTCCTATTCTTCTAGCTGTGTGGAGTTAGAGGAGGTGGGAATGCTGCAGCTCAAGCATTGTTTTGGCAAGCAAAGACAGGGCTTTCCTTCGTATTAGCATTTGAATCTGCAAGAGAGAGGAATGCAGCCATAATGCTTGCAAGAAGGTTTGCTTTTGATTGCAATGTAAGTGCATCTCAAAATCTATCCATAAATCCTTGTATTGAAGTTTTATAAATTAGCGTGATCGATCTTTTTTCTCGTCCACAAATGAAATAACCCTTTTTGTTTTTGCAAATCATTGGAATGCCAGATTATGCTTGCCGGGCCAGATGACAGAGCTCGTTTAGGATCGTAAACCAACCTCCATTAGTCTTCTGTTTCACTAGTTGTAATTAAGTTGAGTTTACAAATGTACCGTAGGTTTGTAATAGTAGGAATTGGCATGCATGATTGTGTTATGGGCTTCCACCGTTCTTTTTTCTTTTTCATTCGTAAATTTTTCCGAGGCATTGTTTTTTTATTGTGCCTTCGTGTAGTGGAGATGGATTGTAGCCGTCTCAAATCTCTTAAACATAACTGCTGGTGTTGAATGGTTTTTTGTATGATGGCTGCGCAATTGGTTATTGTTTTAAGAGGTGTGCTATATTTCGTCCAGAAGCTTAATCCTCAGTCTAATATGCTATTTAAAGTTTTAAACTGTGCAAGCTGCATGTAATATGTTTGGGATTGTTACAATATGATGATACTTTCATGTAATTGAACAAGCAACATCTTCATGAAGACATCCATCCATCCAACATGGATGAAAATGCCATACTGATCCACAACGTGGCATTACAATCCCCACAATATCATGTTCACCAGCTATTCTTCCAATTTAAGATGCAGAAAAAAAAACCTGTACCCCAGCCCGTGTGCGCCTAGATCAGATTAATATCTTGATTGGATATTGATGTTTGATTGACTAGCTGGCTCCTGCGTGCAATCGGGCAAGTTCTCCTAAAACAACGCAATAAATTTGCCCGTATTGAGCTCTGTTGTGGTGGTTTCCATATTTATTTCCGGGCTGCTTCTCGAAGCCCTAAGAATTGGCAGCCGCTCAAAAAACTGTCTGAAAATCGAAGGGGCTGTCCATGAACCTCTCGGAGGTATCCGTCAGGGTCTTTCCAGGTTTTGGAATCTCTTCTTGTTGCCGAAGCACCAACCAGTTACTGTGCATTTTAACAGGTTTTGGCCTGGAACAGGGAATGCTCTAACCATTTACTCTTGGAACAAGGAATGCTTCAGGTGAGTGCAATCTCACGGTATATTTCACCACCATCTTGAGGTGAGGAATTTTCTGTATATCCCTTTCAAATGCTATCTTGTTCCAGTAATGCTAGTTACTGTTGCTTCTTGTACCTTTTCCATCAGTCTTCAGTTCCTAGCAAGCTCTGCCATAATCCAGACTGAACAAAATCTTCTATTAGTGAGGCCGAACTCGGACATCAGTTTCGTGTATATATCATGCCATGGACGAGGGTTCACCCCCTTTGGTCCCAGTAGCCGATCCAACTCCAGTGATCAGACCGGAAATTGTTGAACAATTTGGTTCGTGGATGCTGTGCAAAGGAACAGAAAAGGAGGGGGGAAATCCGTGCTTGAGAATCTCTAGCTCACGGTTAGGGATTTTGGGAGAAGATCCCGCTCGATAAAATGTTGATGGCTTGGAATATCATGCTGATATTTCTTTGCCTGTCCCGAATTCTTCTCCTGTTATTAATTAGCCTCACAATTTCAGGGAATGGAAACCCTACAGCTAAAGGCAAATCTGTCCGTTTTCGGTCAGTCAACGAAGGCGCTTCTATTTCTCATGTTAGGCCTCAAGGGTATCTTGTTGTTAATGGACCTCGTAATGCCCTCCCTAGACCAAAACCACGTGGAGTGATCGCCACACACGAATCTCATAAACTCCAAGACCATCAGACAGTAGCAAATGAAGTAACATGGCCAGTTCTCATCAGTTTTTTGAACGGTATCAATTCTCGTTGTTATGTTGTTTCTAACTTTCTAATACTCCCTCTCATCTTTCTTCCCACTCAGACTCGATACTTCCTCTTGGTTTCCCTATTAATCAGTCTCCTAAACACACCAGATGACTTTGTTAAAGCGACCCAAGAGGGCCAATTTTGCGAGGGTGTCATGTCCGAAGAAATTGTTCAAAAAAATAAACAGGGGGGGGGTTGAATGTTCAAACTGTTCTATACAGTGTGGTTATTCTTTTGTAATGAAACATTGCACATGAAAAATGTGCCAGCTTTTTATCATATTGCCTCTAACAATTGGCATAGCCTTTTAATTTGTACATTGTTGTCGACTTGTTCTATGCAAAAGGGACAAAATAATCACGACTTACTTCTATTCCGCACAAAATTTTATTTTATTCTCTTTTCACCCTTTTCTGAACTGAACCATCATCAAATACAGCAGCAACTGCAACCTCTCCCTCGGCCAAGCCTAGATCGACGGTGTTCCCCAGCCTAAGACTTCTTGTTTTCAAAGTATGGGTCTCATTGTTTTCCAAGGGTATATTTTATCGCTCTATGCATTGTTTTTGAGGACTTCTTGTCAGAAAATATTAACTGGCAATTTAAATCTTAGGCTAAACAGTTTCAAGCTTTCAGCGACTACAAGATTAACAATTAGGCCAAGCAGGGAAGCAAAGCAAATTCTGCAGTTTCACCGTTGGCTAAAAGCCTCTCAAACCAAAACCATTTTATATGCAGTTGCAGTTAGCCTCCCCATCATCATTGGAGATGCGTTAGCTGAATGCGCAAGATGTGTGCTTTGTATGTTAAAAAAAAACACCATGCTTCCATTCTACTCGCTATGAAAGAGAAAAATAGAAGTGAGGTACAGAAATAATCAGCAAATTCAGAAACAAGTTTCAGTCAGTAACTCTGCGGGGCCAATAATTCTGAATTAGCATGTAACCACTCATAATCTAATTGCTTAATTAGAGAAGCGAACACAAAGAATGTAAAAGAATCTTTAAACTAGAATCAAATGAAGCATTTCTCACGTAGTTTGACAGCTGCTTCACCAAAAGGAGCAGGATACTAAATGAACACTACGGATCGTGATAGCAGCATGATCTTCAAAGAATGTAAAAGAATCTTTGAACTATATTCAAATCAAGCATCTCTAATGTAGTTTGACAAGAAGACTACGACAGATCATGATAACAGCAGCATGATCTTCAAAGAATGTAAAAGAATCTTTAAACTTGAATCAAATCAAGCATTTCTCATGTAATTTGACAACTGCTTCACCCAAAGGAGCAGGATAATATATGAAGACTATGGATCATGATAGCAGCAGCATGATCTTCCCTATTAACTAAACACTACTGATATATGGAAGACGCAAGCATCTAGCCATCAAAACATTCAGACTTTCAAAATTAAGAATCCTGTTCACCCAAATGTTACAAGAACTTTTTCATAGCGATTCAGATGAAAGGTTTCTCTGGCTGGGGTAAGAAGAGCCACAGCACCATGATCTGCACTTGAGAATTTCTTGTAGACAGCCTTGAGCTTACACATCAAAACATCAAGACTTTCAAAAATAGAATCTTGTTCACTCAATTGTTGTATAAAAACTTTTTCATGGCGATCTGCACTTGAGACTGTTACAAGAACTTTTTCATAGCGATTCAGATGAAAGGTTTCTCTGGCTGGGGTAAGAAGAGCCACAGCACCATGATCTGCACTTGAGAATTTCTTGTAGACAGCCTTGAGTATACGCATCAAAATATTAAGACTTTCCAAAATATAATCTTATGCACTCAAATGTTGTATAAGAACTTTTTCATGGCAATTCAGATGAAAGGCTTCTGGCTGGGGTAAGAAGAGCCACAGCACCATGATCTGCACTTGAGAATTTCTTGTAGACAGCCTTGAGCTTACTTTCAGCAGCTGCAGTGTGAAAATGAACCAGGAGCTTTGCACAATCCCTGTTGCATGACAGAAATAAAACATAAAAAGTTAACTATGAGGCATCCAACCAACAACCAACAGTGTGCCAAATTATGGTGTGGTTAAGGTACCTTAACCACAACTAGAGAAGCCTCAGTACTGTGTGCCAAATTATGGCACACCATGATTAGTTTAACTTAATTATGATCCATATTTTTAGTTATAGAAAAGTTACCTTAACAAATCTTCAGTGTAGCCAGTGTGGTGCTTTAAAGTTTCAGTCCAGAAAGGGATCTTATCCAGAGTGCATCGAGCAGCATACACAGCTGATGCGGCAATTGTTGAAGGACCATATTTGACAACAACCGGATATTGCATCAGACCAAGTTCAGACAGGAAGAACACCAGATTCTCTGTCTACATCAGTGAAACATTAGCTTAATTATGATGAGCCATATCTAGGAGGTATCAACATGAAAAAGCAGGGCTTGAAAACAAAATTATAACAATGTTACGTTGGTACCTCTTCATCGGATGGAATGGAGGCCTTGATATATCTAACAAGGAAAACATAGGGTGTTGGAACTGTTAGATACCACTCTAGCTTTCCTAAGATTGCTTTCTCCATTGCCAGAACTTGCTCTCTTATATAGGCATTGTCAGATATGCGAACAAAGTCATTAACCTGTAAATTTGAGAACAAAAGAATTATCATGTCTGGAGAGTGAGTTCAACAGAAAAAACAAAAATGCCAAGGCAATAACATTGAAAAGTGAAGAATACTGCACCTCTGGTGCCCATATTTCTTCGTACTTGCAAGCTATAAGCATTGAGCTGATGCCAACCAACTGAAGTTCCCTCCTTGGTACCAACTTCAATGCTAGGAACCTATCCACAATATTTATGGTAAGATAGAGAGTTTCCGGCATTAGTAAAAACTTTCGATGAACATCTATCAGCCAATCTACAAGGATCGATCTCATCTTTGCATTGATGTCTGGTTGGAATTGCAAGTAGTCATGTACCCTACTGTCAACCTGCATAAAACTCCTTATGTTAATGTGTGTGTGTTAGAGAGAGAGAGAGAGAGAGAGATACACAGATAGATATATAGAGAGAGGGGATATCTTTACCTCTGCAAGCTTGTAAAACTCGTACATCTCATCAACGTATTCAACTACTGCCAACTCATTATTAACATCAGCAGCATCAATTTCCACCAGTGTATCCTCAGGCTTACCACAAGCGGCCTAGTGTTACAAACCACATCAGTAAATAAACAATCAGAAGGATAGAACAAATAATACATAAATCAGAAGCGAAACTCTCTGATTACCTTGCTTCGAGCAGTGAGGATAGAAGTGAGTGTCTTGACTTCTTTCCTTGGTACTCTGCTAACAGGTTTACTCTTTTCTGTTTCCTCAGAGCTTATCACAATGACATCCTCAGGTCTATGCTTCTCGTTAACCTTCTTTATTGCTGCTGCTGGGACCTTAGTAGCTGCAGGAGCCCTCACATTACGAGCAACCACAGAATCTACAACTTCTGTGATTGGTTTCTGCAAGAAGGTGTTGAATGCATTCATTAAGTGAGATTCCAGAAGATCCCGACTCCCGGTTACAAAATGGTCACACCAAAAAATGTTAGCTAACCTTCCCTTGCAAAGATACATGATCATTCACTAAATTGCCAATATCTTGAAGCACTCTTCTATTCCTTCCATCTGCTGGTGCAAAAGCCCTCTGCTTCGCTTCTCCTAAAAGAAAAGGAAATAAAATTAATCTAGCAGTGTAAAGTTTACAGAAAAAAAAGTTGCAAGACAGTACAAAATTGATAAAAGACACCCATTGTGTTAAAACATGATAATATCAGCATCAAATTCAAGAGAATACGATAAAGGACACAAACAAAAAATCAATACATCAAAGAAGAAAAGGAAGGACTGAAAGATACTCGTGAAATTAGAATGCCAATGATCCAACCATGGTTCCCATCAAACAAGACAATCCCAATATCAAAACTGAAAATGTGAAAGAATTACTATTGGTAAGGACAGAAATCTAATATGCAAATAGACAGCGAAATCTTAAGGCAATTGCCTATATATTCTATCAATTAATCAAACAACAAAACCGTACTATAAGAGAATATGAAATACCCTCAAACAAAAAAAGCAAAGAAAGAAAGAAAGTAAGCCTCAAAAAAGGAACAGAAATCAATCCCATTTTGCAGATTCAATAAAGGATTCTTAAAAGTAAATTTCCTTTTATTATAAACCAAATTATCATGCATCAAAACCGTAATCACACACATGAACAAAGTATAAAGGAACCAAACCCAAAGAAAGAATCACCTATGCATGCATTCAGACCAGATCATAAAGAACACTTCAAAATACAAAAAGGAAACAAACGATAAACAAAAACCAAAACCCAACAAGTAGTTTTTACCTAAACCATATCAAATACCATGATCAAACCTAAAGCAGAACCAAAACCACACAGAAATAGCCTTTCACTCAGAAAAACCACAAATAACAGTTCGAACCACAAAAAATGAAACAGAAACGCAAAAAGAAACAAAACGCAGAAAAAAAAATTAAGAAACCAAAACCCAAAAACCGATTTTTTTTTTTTTACCTCTGGGTTGTTGTTGATAAGAAACAACAAGATTTCTTGAACCCATTGTGTTTTCTTCTTGATTTTGACCAAAGACTCTTTCAAATATTGATGATAAAAACTCTTGGAGAAGAGTACTTCGTGCCTCTCCTTCTTCAGCGTTATTGATCGTCACCCTTCTTCAAACCTTTTATCTCTCTCTACAAACCCTTTATCTCTGCAAATTCTTTCTCTGTTTCTTGTATTTGTTTGCGTCTGGTGATGAGGAAAACGAGAGCGCGCAAGCAAGCAAATGATCAACGACTCAAAGAAGACTACTTTTGAAGAGACGCAAGGACCTCCAACGGTCGATTTTTTGGTTAATTTCCACCGTTTGATTGTTCAGATCTGACGGAGGTTAAGGCGTTTGTTGTTTTTATGGACTTGAATAGATACCATGCGCATAAAAAAATAATAAAATTAAGTGCTGTAAATATATTTAAAAAAATTAATAAACCAACGTTATAGAATAAAACTGAAAAAAAAAATGATTGTCAAAACTGAATAATAAAACGATGAAAAATAAAATTATAAAAAAATATTAATGAAAATATCATAAAGTTATAAAAATTTTGGATGATAAAATTTAAAAAATAATAATTAAGATTATAGATGCAATGATGAATTTAAAATAAATTTAAATTTGATAAAAAAGTGAATAATAAAAATAAAAAATCAAAATACTGAGAGCTAAAATTTAAAATATCATTAAATAATGAATTGAAGGGAAAAATTAAAGATTCCAAGTCAATAAATTCATAAAAAAAATAAAAAATAAAAATAAAAATCAAATGAGTGAAAATTAAATTAAAAAAAAATTAAAATACATCATTTGATTCTTAAAATAGTTGCCTAGCAAGTTAACTCGTGATCCAAAACTTAGATTGGCTTAGTTTTTAAAAGTAATTGCAATAAAACATTAAAAATATCTAATAGTTATATTTAATGAATAAGGAAAAATTCTCATAAAAAAGTTCAACAAAACCTTAAAAAAAAATGCTTTAGGAAACTAATGTTTTTCTATTATTTTAAAAACAAATGGAAAATCCCATAGGAAGTTGGAAAAAAAAGTAAGAAAATATCCAAAGATAAAATAAAAAAAATAACTAAAAAAAAAGGATAAAATAAAGTAAACTCGGGTGAATTTTTTAAATCTAAGTTAATATCTTAAATTCATAAACCATTAAATTTCAAATCTAATCTCAACTAGAAAGCTCAATATAAAACAAATTCAATCCTAAAGGGTGAGATAAATTAATTTAATCATGAAAAAAAAAATTTCTAAAAAGAAAGATCTAATAAAAAACACCAAAAAGATCGAGATAGTATTAAACCAAATTTAATGTTTAAAAATAAAATAAATTAATTTAATCTAATTCAAAAAATTTATTTTAAAAGAGGTACTCTCAAAAAGCCATGTTACTCTCAAAAAGCCATAAAAAGTTCCATAAAAAAATGAAAAAAAAATATCGAATGATGAAATCAAAAATAAAAACTCGAGTCAACTCAGTTTAACTTTAATAATATGTGACATGAGATGTGAGAAAGAGATAATTTTATAAAAAAAATCACGAAGCTCAAGGCTTAATAAATAAATATCAAATAATGAAAATAAAATAAAAAAGGATAAAACTTTAACCGGGTTGATCATTAAAAATTATAGACCGGGTCATAATTGTAGAAGACAAACATAGAAAAATAATGAAGTAAAATTCTCAATCATAAAAAAATCAAAAATAAAAAACAATGAGGACTAAAAAATAATTGAAAGAAAATAATTAGGAATTATATTAAAAATAATAATTGAATAAAATAATAATAATAATAATAAAAAGAACAATAAAAAAAGAGGAAAAAAATTGGAAAAAAAATAAAATCAAATTAAATTCTAAAGGACAAAATAAAAAAATATACAAGGGATAAAAAAATTACAATAAAAAATAAGAACCAAATTATATATAAAAATTAGATAAAATAAATATAGAGAGATGAAACTGAAATAAACACAAAAACCTATAAGAAACACTCAAATCAAAACAAATAAAAATTAAATGAAAAAAAACAAATATTAAAACAAATACAAATTGGAAGACGTCACTTAATTTTTAAAGACTCAACATAAATACTAAAGCACATAAAAGTATAATTTTGAAATCCAGTTTACCCTGGTGGGCCAACCCAATATACAACCCCATGTCTCTTATTAAAAAAATTAAGATTTAATTTAAAATTTGGATGAATATAGGTATAATTTTGTATTTAAATGATTAGCATTTGTTGAGCTATTTTAAAGTATTTTTAGAGTTTCAATAATTAAAATAAGATCTCAAAGGTAATAACTTACAAAATTATTTATATTATTTAAGGATACATAAACAAGCATAAAAAAAAATAGAATTAACCTATTTTGTAAAACATATAATTTAGTATCTTTCTTTCCTGTTAAAGATAGAGCTGAATTTACATATTAATTAGAATTGACATGTATTTTGTATTTTATATTGTTATGGACAAAAAAAAAAGTATTTTGCAAATAAAGAGCAGGGGTCTTTTTAATTTTGGTATGTAAAATTTATTAATTTAAGAATATTTTTGCTAAACTAAACGTTTCAATATATAATTCGTGTTTCGATGTATATTTATAATTATAACGATGTGTGGAATATTTTCCTTTTCGTTCTTTTTATGTGGACACACCATAAGTTTACACGAGCTGTGCTCTTAGACCTGTGAATCTGACCTCCGTGCTAAAAGTGCTCCTTTTCCCCATTTAGATTAGAATCAGGTTCCTAGTGGATAAGGTAATCTCAATCAAAAAATTCTCAGATAGTGATATAAATAAAAGTTGTTAAAATTGTTTTTTAATTTATAAAATTATATGATTTTATGATTTTACAAATTAAAACATATTTTGCATGCTCAATTATCTAACAAAATAAAAAATAAATGAAATTAGGTTAAATCGGGTGAAATCATTAAAATCAGAAAAATTACAAAAAATTGTGATTTCAGGACCAATTTTGTGATTTCACCAAAATGCATAAACTAAAGAAAAATATTCCCCATGCTCCAATTATCCGGTGCCTATTAGATGTGCAAATGCACAATCACACCAATTCTTCAAAGTCTTCACTCTGATCATTGCGCAGAACGAAATCTCTTTCTTTCTTTTCACCGAATAAAAATTTCTAATTTCTTTCTCTATTACCCAACTGGCAACCACAAAAGCAATGACAATCACTGTTACGGTCACAATCCAATCTTCACTCTTTCTCTTTCTTCACTCCAGTCATTAGTGCTCACGGTGGCCGCTTTTTTTAATCAATATCAACGACAATCCCTTCAATAGTTCACGGCTTACTCTTCAATCTTCATCAATAGCGGCAAGCTGGTAACGATCTCCTTTCTTTCTCATTATCAATAGCTCACGACTTCCTCTTCATCAATAGCAGCAGGCGACATTGCTCTCCGCTTCAACTTTCATCATCAACTGCTTCCTCTTTACTATAAGTTGTTCCCCTATAATTATATCTTTAAACTTCAAATGTAAAACTATAATGGTATAATATTCCCCTTTACAAATTTTAAATATTGATTTTGCCGGTCTTGATAATGATCTTGAATAACAATTTATCCATTTATAATGTTTTTATGTCCCTTGAATTGAATTGAATTGAATTGATGGAATGATTTTAGTGTGGTGTGGAGTTAGTCGTGGACCATGAAATGTGGAATTTGTGTTTTCCTGATTGTATGAATTAGTATGTAAAACTGATATTTTACTTAATTAGTGGAAATTGTGTCTACCTGATTGAATGATTTTAGCATGGTGTGGACTGTGAAATGTGAAAATCATGTTTCTGGAATGTGGCAATTATCTCTGTTTGTGTCTTGTATTAATTAGTTGTTGTTGCTTTGTGTTTGTGTGTTGCAGACTATGGAGTCTATAGATTGTAGAATGATGAAATGATTTTAGGATGCCATTTCAATATATGTATCGAAGTAAATTGAAAGTATTATTTTAGGATGCCATTTTATTAATCGAATGATGGAATGATTTTATGAAAAATTTAATTATTTATTTTAATTTTGTTAATTATTAGCTAATGAAAAGTTATTTAAATTATATACAAATTTTTATTTGAGTCATATATTTTAAGGTGCTTGAACTATGTATATATTTTTATTTGAAACATGTATTTTCATGTGCTTAAACTATGTATGAATTTTTATTTAAAGCATGAATTTTTTATTGATGTATTTTAAAATTCCTTACGATTTTATGATTTTATGATCCAAGTTTGTTTTATATTTTATGTGCCATGTTAAAATTTTGATTTTAACAATCTTGACACAAACTTAATTGTGATCATATAAAGACAGGCAAATGTAGATTTTTAGCATCAGTTTGACTAGTCCAAACTTTCATGGTTCCATTGAACCAAGAATATGGTTAAGGGGAAAAAAACACAATAAAAGAACAAAGCATCTTTATCTCTCTCTCTCTCTCTCTACACACACACACACACACAAATATATATATATATATATATATCAAAGATTAATATAAAATGGTCCCGCCCTCTTTCTTTTTGTTGCTTTTATGGGTAACTTTGTCACATAGACAAGTGTAATAGATACATGGATGTCAATTGAATTCATATCTGATATTTATAATCTTGATAAAATGTTAGATGATATGGATGTAGCTCACTTATTATATTCAATACTTTATACTTGACCAAATATCGAGCTCAATAGAATGTGTGTTTGGCAAGTTATCAAACTTAATATTTTTAAATTTAGCTATATGATAAGCCCAAACAAACAAGGATCTGGCATGCTGCTTGACTTGTTGTCTTAGGGGTCGGCTATCTACTAAGCCCAAAAAACATAAGTCTAGCTCGCTGTCATAGCAATTAACCGTGAGTTTGGTAGTGTGCATAACACAAAAGACTAAATATATGAAGATCGTTATAGGCTCCATGTTAGGCCATAAAGTTCTGTTTGGATTTTTTTATGACTACA